GAAACCCAACTCGAATGCAGCCGAATTCAATTTCAATTCAATGTTGAATGTCAAATAAAAATAAATGTATATAGATGTATATACATGCATACATCTGCCAGACTTTGGCATGCATTTCAATCAGTCAGTCAGTCAGTCAGTCAGTCAGTCAGTCAGTCGGCTGAATGAATGACGGCTTCAATCAGCACAAGCTTGGCATGCGAATTGAATGTCGCAAATGGGATTTAGAACTAGATACGCAGTGCTTGACATACTATTTGCCAGTTTGATTTTCAATTTCTATTCAATGTTGAATGTATGTCGACTAACAATTGGCTGTGGCTGTGGCTGCGTGTCTTTGGCCAAATATTTAACACCTTGCACGGGATTCGCATTGAATTTTAATCAGTTTTGAACTAACGAAAGACAGCTGCTAAATGGCTCTAAATGGAATCTGGACCTTGTGCTTGGGCAGAGTATCAGCGAGTCGGACATATCCCATTTGTTATTTAATTTACAACTTTAAGTTGATCTTATTTTGAATAAAATTTTAGATTTTAACACGATTCAATTTCATTATAATTGCAATTGCATTTTGAATTTATTTTAAATTTTTATTAATTTGATATGCTTTTTTGTACACGATTTGCATTTTACTTTTACATCAATTTTAATCAGCTTTAATTTAAATTTTCAATTCGCATTTTTATTTTTTTAATATTTTAATTTCTGTTAACTTTTGTTTTCAGTTTTGTGTCAATTTAGCATAAATTAAATGTTGAATGCCAATAAGTTAAAGGCACTTAAATTATATGACACTTAGAACAACATTTGCATTTCATTTCCATCAGTCAGTCAATCGATTAGTTAACTATTCAAGCCTTGAATGATGGGCGCTATTATGTTAGAGCTGAAATCCAAATTTAAACTATTCAAAACGAGCTCATAGAGTCGACCAAGTATTTCAAGTGTTGAGTGCATCAATCAGTCAATCAAATGAGTTGGATTATATTATGGTGTACTGATATAGAATAAAACTGGGAGACTCTGAAAAATATATTCCGATACACGACTATTTAGGATTCAATCGAAACAGTCTTGAAAAGCTGTCAATCAATCTGTTCAATCATTAAATAAAAATTGCAATTAAAAATTATTCAGAATCAACATTGAAAACGAAGTGAGTATTTAGATTAGATTAGGGCAGTCTGATAGTCATTAGATGTATTATAAGATATGGTGATTAAATTTTATATTCAATTTCAATCTTAATTTGTGTCAGTGTTGAGTGCATCAATCAGTCAATCAAATTAAGTAAAATTATATGTGATATTACAATAGAAAATGAAAAGAAAAAGAGTCAGATAACAAATATTTCCCGTTTCAATCGAATTAGTCTTGTACAGCTGTCAATCAATCAAGCAATCAATCAAATGTTCATTCAGAATCAGAATTGAAAGTGAAGTGAGTATTTGGATTAGATTTAGTTAGTCTGATATTGAATTAGTATATAGTAGATCAATATATATATAGTTCCTCGATTTCAATTTCAATTTAGGCAACAAGGCAATCAATCAAGCTGTTCAGTCAGTCAAACAGTCATTCAATCATGTTGAATGACAGTTGCGATCAAAACAGAGCTGCAATCGGAATGGCAAATGACGTTTAAGATTAAAAGCAGCTTTGCTCAAGAATTTTGATATGAATAAAAACGTTGAATTGTTGCAATGCTTAACATATGTGAGGGCAACAAATAAACAATTTCCATTACCATTTCCATTTCCATTTCAATTTCCATTTCAATTTCCATTTCAATTCGCATTCGCAGTTCAATTTCAATTGCCAGAGACGACAGCTCAGATAATTGATGATTATGAGTGTCGGCTAAATGTCGTGAGCGTGTTATTGCAATACATATATTAACATATATATATACATATATATACATATATATATATATAGATCCAGGTAAACAGATATATGTGTCGCTGTGGCGTTTGGATGTCTCGTAAATCAACTGAGCCAATGGTAGCCGCTGAGAGCTCAAAGATATCATCTAGCTACTCTGGCTGTGTGTGTGTGTGTGTGTGTGTGTGTGTGTGTGTGTGTGGGGACGAGAGCTTTTCGTGCCGCAAATGTCCAAATGTGGGCGCTAAGGTTTGGCCAATTCCAATGCAAATGACAAATCAAATGTAGCCCCCGCTCCACCCCTTTGAATAGGTCCATATATAGACTTTAAAGATGGCATCTCCAATCTTCAATGCGGCACGACAGACGACAGACGCCAACGCCAACGCCAACGCCAAGCGCCACTTGGTGCCAAGTTTGGCTTTATGTGAATGCAATTGGCTTTGGCTTTGGCTTTGGGATCGAATTGAGATTTGAGGGGGGGGTAGGTCGGGGGCTGTGCATACGGCACAGATACGATCGCGTTTTGGCCCTTGCGTGTGCTTACAGTAGCTGTTGGCCTAGAACTGTGTGCCACACCCACCGCGGCGCACAACAGCAACAGCCACACACACACACACACACACACACGCACGGATACCCGCAGCCCTCGCTAAGCTCCCCTTCGCGCTAGCTGCGGCAAATGGCGACGTATTCATTTGTTTGCTGTTTGCCAATCAGCCTGTCAATAATTGTCAACAAGGTGTGACTATGCCAATATTTAATTATTCGATTTCATTTGCTTTTCATTCGCGACAACTGCGACAGCGACCCCCATCCCCCCATCCCACATGTCCCCCGCCGCCGCTCTGTTAGTCTGAGCAACTAAGAGTGTAGTAGGAATACCCTGTAATAGGCCAGGCGATGGCTAAGGGCATGCTGGACTATGAAACTTTTTGTTGCTTTGGGGCAGGGTTCGAGTTCAGAGCTTATCTGAACTTCGGTTAGCAAATTTTATATTAATTTCATATTTAAGTTTATATATGTACACATACATACACATATATAAATGGATATGTATATAGAATATCTTACCATATTTCGAATTTGCATATATATATATAAGCATAATTAAAACTTAAGCATATTACTTACATTCACATATCCAAAGAGCTTCTCAATAATAAACAACTTGTTGCAGGGTATCTGGCAGTCGCGCACTCCCTTGAAATATCCACATATATGGTCGCTCTTTCCCTTCCTCGCCCATTAGTATTTGTCTTTGTTTTTGTTGCTTAAAATTTGTTAAACATTTGCGTAAAAAACATTTGTCTTCAACAGTTGACGCTTGCCTCGAAATACAACGGGCGAAGTACTCAAAGTACTCAAAGTACTCAAAGCACTTGTCGCCAGATACTCATTACTTCTTCGCTAGTAGGCAACTATTCATGGTAGTTTTTGAATCTAAAACGAGGAGGAGGTAAGGCTTAGAGCATAAGCTTAAAGGCCTACTTTGAACTATATAAAAAAAAAAAACATTCAGAAATCAATCTCTGAATGATTACGATTATCTTTCCGATACTCAAAGTACTTGTCGCCAAATACTGACTACTTCTTTGTTACCATGTGACTAATTATGGTAGTTTTTGACTCTAAAGGGAAGGGGGATCAGAGCATAAACATATAATTTAATTCTATTTGATGCAACGTTTATTGAAGCTAAGCTTCAGATCAGAAACTCTGAATGATTACGATTATTTTTCCGATACTCAAAGTACTTATTGCCAAGTACTGACTACTTCTTTGTTAGTATGCAACTATTTACAATAGTTTTTAGTTCTAAAGGACTACTTTGAACTGTACAAAAACCACATTGTAGCTTAGTTGCCTCGAAATACAGCGGGCGAAGTACTCAAAGTACTCAAAGTACTCAAAGCACTTGTCGCCAGATACTCATTACTTCTTCGCTAGTAGGCAACTATTCATGGTAGTTTTTGAATCTAAAACGAGGAGGAGGTAAGGCTTAGAGCTTAAGCTTACAGGCCTACTTTGAACTATATAAAAAAAAAACATTCAGAAATCAATCTCTGAATAATTACGATTATCTTTCCGATACTCAAAGTACTTATTGCCAAGTACTGACTACTTCTTTGTTAGTATGCAACTATTTACAATAGTTCTCAACTCTAATGGCCTACTTTGAACTGTACAAAAACCACATTTGTATTATATTTGATGCCAGATAATAGATATTGTAGCTTAGTCTCAGATCGGAATCTCTGAATGATTATGTTTATTTCTTTTGTTCAAGCTGGTTACAAAATGTTGTCACTGAACTTTTTAGTTTTCTGACACTCATTTGAGTTTAAGAGATTCTTCTTTGAATGTCTCAAGTCTGGGCTGTTTCAGGCCAAATATGCATCTTTAATTTATTTTGCTAATCAAATCTGCCGCATTTTGAACAACTTTTATTGACAACAACCAATTACCAACATTTAGCATTAAGCATTTGGCCAACATTTTAGCCAGCTCATTTCCGGCGGAAATGCCGCTCATAACTGTATTTCCGACTCTCAAAGAAGGCAAATATCATTTGAGAAAATGCCAAATTTGGCATTTGGAAATCAAATTGAATAAAAAACGTAACTGACAATTGTTATTAAATATTTTGTATATTTATTTTTATGTATATATATTAATTTTTTCAATATATATGCATATATTTTTGTGCAACTTTTGCGTATTTAAAATATAATTCCAAAAAAATAAAATAAAAATAAATAAGTGAACGCTTTGAAAATTGCATAAAGAAAAAAAAATTAGTTAATGTTTTTTGTTGTTTGTTTATTGTGTGTGTTTTTTGGGGAGTTTTGTTTGTTGTTGTTGTTGGGTTTTTTTTTTTTTTTAAATTTATAAACATTAAATTTAAATATTATTAGTACAATTTGTTGCTGCCGTTGCATAAAATGTTTTTTTTTTTAGTATTTCGCAATTAATCGTGCAAATTGAATCGATCGATATATATAGATATATATACGTATGTATGCATTGTATATATATGTATGTATTTATATGTATTGGTATATATGTATATATATCATATATGTAAAAGCTACAAAAAAATAAACATAGAATTTATAATAATAAGAATAATTTAATAGAATAAAATTTAATAAAAATTAATACAATTTCATTTTCCTTTCATTTTCTCTTTCTTGTTGTTTCTTGTGTGTGTGAGCTTTGTGTGTGTGTGTGTGTGTGTGTGTGTGTGTATGTGTATAAATATGTATACATGGCATTTTCTTTTCTTGTTTCCTTTCTTCAAATTTTGTACATCATTTTTGTAATGATTTTTTAAAAATTTTTCAACGCATTAAAATTATATATAAAATATTTATATATTTTTTAAATTCTTTTTTAATACGCTCTGCAATATGTGTGTGTGTGTGTGTGTGTGTGTGTGTGTGCGTATGTGTGTGTGAGTAAGTAACAATTAGTACAAAATAATTTCACATTGAAAAGCTTCAATTTTCAATTTATGTTTCCACGAAAAAAAAAAAAAAAATTTTATTGCTTATATGCTAAATATTTGTTATTTTTATATATATATTTTTATATATTTTTTTGCCATTCAGTCAATCAGTCGAAACTTTTGGTTGGCCGCCGCTGCGCATTTGGGCGCGGCAAAAGATATCGATAACACATCGATAACATGTACATATAAACTATTATCGATAGCAACTAAAATCGCGCCAAAAGCGTTTCCCACTGCGTTTTGTTTCTCATAAAATATTTCTCCAAAAAAAATATGATAATAAACATATATATATATATAGATATATATAAATATATATGAATATAGTGTATATATGTATATATATATGTGTGTGTGTGCATAATATATGTATGTAAATCGTAGCATTATTTCGCTCAGTGTATTTGCTGTTATTTCTGGTTCGCTTTCAAATTGCAATTTAAATGTGAATTTAAATTAATTGAAATGAAGTGAGTTTTGGTTGAATTGTGGGCTGCTCTGCTTCTTGTTGCCATTTTATTTTTATTTTTTTGTTTTTTTTTTAAATGTTTTCTTTTTTAACGAACGTTACACAGCACAGTTTTTCATATCAATTTTAAAAATTTCAAAGAAATTCTGAAAATGCTTTCGAGCTAAATTCTAAAGTGGAGAATTTAAAGCAACTGCACTGGTTATTCACATTCTATGTACACATATATATATATATGTGTGTGTGTGTTTGTGTGTGTGTATATGTATATATATATGCATGTATATATATATAATATTATATGCTCTCTCTCTCACTCTCTCTCTGTCTATCTCTTACTTTCTTCCTTGCTTCCTTTCGTCTAACGCTGGCTCTCTGTGTATGCTTTTGTGTGTGTGTGTGTGTTTGTTTTCTTTCTCTTTCCTTCCCGTTTGTTCTATAATACAAGTTTACATGGCTCTCGCTCGCTCTCTGGCTCTCTCACTCGAAAGAGAGCGCACAAACTGTGCTGTTGTTGTTGCTGCTGCTGTTGTTGCTGTTGCTGCTGCTGCTGACGTCGCCTTCGATGTCGACTGCGCTGCTCAGCTGCTCAGCTGCTGGCCGCGCGCTGCTGATGATGCGGCTGACGCTTGTGATGACGTCGCGAGCGTCGGCATTGCGTCGAGCAGCACTCGTCGATGGGCGCCGCAGCAGCGCCGGCCACGCCCCCAAGGTCGCTGCCAGCCGTTGGCTTGTCGAAGAGGCGACGCTTGCCGGAGACGCGCGTCTGCTGCTGCTGCTGCTGCTGCTGGCACGTGGAGCGTGAGCAGCGCTTCCGATCGCAGTTGACCTTCGAGTCCTGAAAGAGAGACAAAGAAAGAGAATAAAACAGTTAGTTGGCCGATTACACTTCTTCCTCTGGGAGGGGGAGGGGAGGGGGAGTGGGGTACACTTACCTTGCAGCGGCATTTGATGCACTTTTGTTCGCCATGCGACATGAGTATGGGATGCCATTCCTGTCCGTTTTCGTAGATCTTGTTGACGACCTTGCAACCGCCGGCGGCGAGCACCTCCTCGGCATTGTGGGCGGCGGTGCGCTGGACGGCCTGGTCGAGCAGGACATTGGGATTGCTGGGCGTGTGCTTGCCGCTCTGGCCGTGATTGCTCTGCTTGCCCTCGGGGCAGACCTTGCAGCAGGCCTTCTTGTCCGGGCGATAGGCGAGCTTCTCGCTGCACCGCAACGGCGGGCAGACCATGCGCGGGCAGCGCACCTCCAGCGTGACCGCATCGCAGCTGCAGGTGGTGCAGGTGTCGAAGCCGTTGGGCGGCAGAAACGGATGCCAGCTGGCGCCGGCCGCATGAAACTGTTCGCCCAAGCGGCAGCCCCGCCGCTGCTGCTGCTGCAGCAGCAGATCGCTGGCATTGAGCGCGGGCGTCGAGGAGGCGGAGGAGCTGGAGAAGCTGGAGCTGGAGCTGGAGCTGGTAGTTGTGCCCGTCGGATGCCAGTCGTCGCGTTTGGCCACACAGCTGGGGCAGCATTCGCCGTCGCGCTGAAGCAGCTGCTCGCTGCCGGATTTGCACTTGAGAGCCGGACACTTGATCAGCTCGCAGTTGGCCTGGCCGCGCTGGCAGGCGCACATGTGGCAGGTGTCCTGGGCGCTGCGCCACTGCTCGGACTCGTTGTAGAAGCGTCCCGAATGGAAGCACTTGCTCTCGGCGGTCAGCATCTGGTTGTCGTTATGATCGCCCGGCACGGGCACATTGTTATCCGTATAGATGGGGAAACAGTGGGCGGGCACCTTGGTCGACTTGAGCTTGCCGCGCAGCAGCAGCTGGTGGCTGTGCTTGGCGTGCAGCTCCAGGTAGCAGACGCTCGTCTCCAGCTTGATCAGCTCCGCGGAGGGCATGCCCAGGACAAAGCCCTCCATGTAGCCGCCGTTGAACTCCTCGAGCAGCTTTCGTGTGACTGGCGCGCCGATTGCCTCGATCGGCTTCTCCTCCAGATACAGCTGCAGATCCTGGCCGCCGCCGCCGTTGCCGTTGGGGTTGGGCATGCCGCTCAGCGTCAGCTCGTAGTGGAGATTGCATTCGTTGTCGATCGACATCCAGGCCATGCCCATGCCGGCGTGTTCACCGTGCGGCTTCAGCAGTATCGGTTCCGCGGAGTCGCGTGCATCCGCCACGGGGCGTGGCACCAGGCGGCCGCGTATCAAGCTGGCCTCGTGCTCGGTGGCCACATTGACGCCCAGCTCGCCGGCATAGAGCGATTCGAGGACCTTGGGTCCAAGTTTCTCGACGCTGCCGATCGCCTGATTGAAATTGAAGCTGGGCGTCAGATCCTCCAGCTTGGCCTTGCGCTTGCCCTGCTCCTCGATCAGGCTGATGTTCGGCCGATCCCGGGTGTTCACGTGATCCGTCTCGATATTGTAGGCCAGCGAGCCGTCCGTGTTGAGGTAGACCCAGGCCAGGCCGCTGCTGCTGCTGCTGCTGCGGGTGCGGGTGCGGGTGCTCGGCTCGTTGCCGTGCGGGGGGGCGAGCAGGGTCTGGAAGATTTCGCAGCTGGCCCGGGTCACGATGTGGCCCTGGATGCGCAGCTGCGGATACTTCTTCGACTCGACGGTCAGCAGGAGCTTGCCGCGCGACATCAGACGCAGATTCTGTATCGAAATGGGCGACGATAGCTCGAGTACATTGATCTCCGCTGAGGGTTTGCGCACGCGCGCCATCTCGTCGAAGATCAGCTCCTTGCGCTCGGGCAGCTCGATGCGGACACTGAGCGCCGCGTCCGCGTACTCCTCGCCGCCAAAGATGCCGTTGAAGACCAGGGTCAGGTGCATGGAGCTGGCCGCGCCGCTGCTGGTGGACACAATTGCCGTGCCGCCGGCTCCCGCCAGCTGTGGATCCGGCTTGCCGCCGCCCATTGTCGGCGGCTCCAGCAGCGAGCTAAACAGTTCCGTCTGCAGAGCCGTATACTTGGCTATCTTGCCGGCCAGGGCCAGCTCGGCCTGGTGCTTGTTGCCCCACAGCAGGACGACATGCAGCCGATCGTCGCGCAGGATGCGCTTGTAATCACGTGGCACGCGCCGCCATACGCCGCAAATCTTGCCCGTCGCATTCTGATAGACGCTCAACGTGCCGCTGAGCGTCGTCTCCAGCTGGTGCTCCTCCAGAATGACGCCCGCGTCGTCCACGAACTGGATCGCCCGCGGCCGCCCAATCCGCGACGACGTGTAGAACGAATAGTACAGATTCTTCTTGTGGAACAGAAAGCGGGCCGTTGCGACCACGTTCTGTGGATTGTACGTCGTGTACATGGACTTCATCTCCTCGCCCTTCAAAAAGTACGATGTCCGGCCCGTTAGCAGAGCTGCGTAATCTGTGAATGGACCGAAATTCAATTGTGAATATATCCGTGAATGAGTGTGTGAATGAGTGTGAGTGTGTCTACACGCTGAGTTAACCTAGCTGGGCGAATAACACCTGCTGTGCGAATATAGGCGCAATTGTTCTCAGGTAACTCGACTCTCTGCCGTACCAGGAGCTCGCAATTTGGGTGCAGCTGCTTCTTCTGACAGCGGAAGCTGCATAAAGCGTGTGCAAGCGGATCAGCCTACTATATCATATAGCTGTCATACAAATTGACGCTCAACAATAGACTAAGATATTATATTTAATATATATATATACTTATTTATTACACATAAATAAAGATTTTCTTCCAAGAAATGATTCGTTTCGAAACTATATTTCAGTTTTTTAAGTTTTTATATATTTTAAAATAAATTGGATCAATATGGTTTAATTATGTGCCTAGGCAACTATCGGACCAGAGTTAAGTTCGCCCATGAGAAAAGTAGCTATAAATTGTCAAACAAGATTTCATTTAAGATCGATCGACTATATCTCTCGCATAATATACTTGGGATTGTTTCTATTGAATTGTACTTACGTTTCATGTTGCGCTCCTCTTCCTCGCTGGGCACGGGCACATCCAAAGCCACATCCGTATCTGGAATGGGAAGAAGAAGAACAAGCTGAAGGTTAGGAAATGCTCTACTTAAATGGAATTCAGATAGCACTAAATGGCATCAAAGGGCCCGCAATGAATGCCCCGACGGACGAACGAATGTCTATGAATGCAATGTGAATGAATGAAATGAATCTGAATAAAAGAGGCCACAGCACAGGTAGACGGATCAGCGTGTGCGTGTGTGTGCGAGTGTGTGCGAGTGTGTGCGAGTGTGTGTGTGTGTGCCTGTCCAGGTGGCATTCATTAATCGTGCATAAATTGAGCAGGTAAAAGAAAACAAAACTAGTCAAGGAATTCCTAGAAATTCACACACGCAAACACACACACACACACACACACAGACAGCCAGGCAAATGCGGCGTGAAAGTAGGTGGACATTTCCGGATGTGACAGGCACAACTCACACTCACACACACACACACACACACACACACACACACACACACACACACACACGTACTCAGCCGCTTGATTGACAGCAGCTTCGTTAGAAGCCGCTGCCCCAAAGCTGATTAAAAGCAGAACACACGAAAAGAAAAAACGGCTAAGAAAAATAAAGGAGCTGCTCGAAAACAGCTTCAAAATGTACGATGAAAAAAGGCTAAAGCCAAAGCTGCTGCTGCATTGGAATTTCGTTTATTTTGCTATACACACACGCACACACACACACAAACACCCGCCGCTCTTAAGCCGCAAAAAAAAGAAGAAGCAGAGGCAGCGACAGCGACTGCGACAGCGGCAGCGGCAGCAGCAGCAGAAAAAAAACACTTCTTCTTGCCGCATAATGAGGGGCGACAAATCTGACACCTTGTATAGCATTTTATTGAGCCGAGGCCGCAGCGATTGTGGCCAGAGCGCGGGCAACGGTCGGGGGGAGGGGGACGGGGACGGCTTAAGGTTGGGGTTCGTTCCAGGCCAAGAGCATGCTGCGGTCGTGAGCGAGTGTGTGTGTGTGTGTGCGCTTGTGTGCGCCTTCCAATGTCGTCTTCGGCTGTCCGATCTTATCGCCTGATCTTAATACGAGCCACTTCTGACCGAAAGCCGCGCGGCTGGCCTGCCCCGCACTACGCCCCGCTACTCCAGCAGCGCCTGCACTCTGCCTGTCTCTCTCCCCCCCCTCTCGCCCCCTCTCGCCCACACTATTTGTGTTTCTTTTTGTGCTGCGTTTTTCAATTTGACGCGTCGTCTGCGGCGCATTCTTCAGCTTATTGGCGATGGCCCGCAGATTGTGCACAGATCCTGCCCTCAGGCTACCCCTCCCCGCCCCCCTCGCCATGTACTCCTTCCACTCCTTGCCCTTGACTCGCGCTCGCTTCCATTGCAGATGAATGAATTTTCGTTTCGTTTCGTTTCTTTTCGTTTCTTTTCGTTTTATATGCCGTGTGTGGCTCTCATGTGTTTGTTGTTGTTGTTGCTGTATTTGTTGTTGTTGTTGTTATTATTTCGGTCTGCTGCTGGCCGTTTTTGTAAGTCAAGATAAATGAGTTTTGGTGCGCACAAAGACGACGACACGTTGCCCATCATGACAAATACGGCGAAACGCAGTGTGACGGTGGAGGGGGGCGAGAGAGCAAGGGCGAGAGCGAGAGAGAGAGAGAGAGGAAGGGACGAGGGCTCAGCCAGAAGCCGACAAAGCCAGGGGCTAAGACAAACGACACCTTCGGCCATTGAGTCAACGCTTTGGTATGTGGCTTCCAGCGGCTCGCCCTGACCACCCCTCCTCCCCCCCCCTCTCTCCCTTCCTTCCGACCGCTCTCTTTCAGTTGCCGCAGCTCATTAAACGAAAAAGAATCGATATATTTATGTGCATTAAAACGAACAACAAAAAACCGTTTTGAAAGTGTTTTCTCAAATGATCTATCCGAATGAATTCCTCGGAGCGTTTAGCATTTACTTATGTAGATCTTCGCACAGCTCGAAGCAAAGGCAACGCGCTGCACGGCCAGAGAACTTAACTGATTGCTGATTGGATTCGATTGGATTGGATGGAATTGGATTGGTTCTCGTTTTTGTTCTCGTTTTTGTTCTCGTTGTTGTTGTTGTATTTGTTAGGGATGCGGTTGTTGTGTTTGTTCCATGGAATTTGAAGCGTTGTGTGTGGCTCAAAAGCTTTTAGGACTTGTTGAAGCAGAAGAGAACGGATTGTTGCTATTTATAGCGAAGAAAGCGACAGACAGAGAAAGAGCGAGAGAGAGAAAGAGAGAGAGGGAGAAGTAGAGAGAGAGAGAGAGAAAGAGAGAGAGGAAAGAAAGTTAGAGAAAGACAAATTGTAAGCTTAAGTCCCTGTACGAGCTTTAGATAAAAAAAACCGGAGCTTTTATTGAAGTGCATTAAGCAAAAGCTCGGCCTGAACTGTAAGCTGCTTAAAAGCTCTAAACATACATTTGAAAAGAGCGAAAGCTGCGATTATTGGAGCTTTGCAAGAAAGAACAAACTATCTTCAAGGCGGTCGAGAGCGTGTGCTTCTGAAGTTTTATGTGAAGTGCAAAAGCTGTACAAACAGAAAAGCTTAACATTGGTAGGCCCGCTTTTGAGCCCAAAACAAGGAGCTGCAGAGCTTTTGAGAATACGCAAGAAGGAAATGAGAAGCTTTAGCTTTCGCCGCTCTCACTCGCTCTCTCTTTCTCTCTCTGTCTGCTGTCGAGAGTGACTTTAACGAAAGCTTAGGCTTGATGAATGAAGGATATCAAAGAGTAAAAGCTTATTATCGTTATAAAAGAGTTTTTTCAGAGAGCAAGGAGCAAAAGCTTTCGCTTTTTGCTGCTCCAGGAAACCAAAGCTCCTGCTGACCTGCGCCCAAACGACACACACACAGGCACGCACACACACACAGGCGCACCTGGTTAACTACCTTAAGGCAAACAATCTAAATGGGATCTCGTGCAGCAGAGTTTTTTAATAGACAGTTCCGTTCTTGATGCCGTTCGCGATAAAGATAAAGTTGAAAATTTTATTAGCCAGGGCGCTGACCAAGAGCCAGGGCCAGTGCGCACGCCCAGCGATAAAAATCTCTCTCCCTCTCCCCTCTCCGCGCCCCTCTCCCTCCCTTTCTCACTCTCCCGCGCATCTCCTTGTGTGTGTGTGTCCCGATGGTACGTCAGGGTTCGATCGGGTTCGATTTGATTCGGGGTAGCCATAAAATGGTCGAAAAAGGAAACGCGCGACCGCAAAAGATGTCATCAACTTGAATTGTCAGGCACTTAATGGACGCCAGAAGATCGCAGCCCGAAGATCCGAAGATCCCAGCACAATCGTTGGGACAGTTTCCCCGGACCTTATCGGAGCCGGAGAAGGAGACGGAGGCGGAGACGGAGACGGAGAAGGAGAAGGAGACGTCGATCGATCGATCGTTGTGAAACGATTGCGCATGGAACTGGCATTGGGCATTAACTTTTATTGTCTCTACCTGGCCATAGTCCAGCCTGACCAGGTTCGGTCAGCCCCGCCCCGCCCCGCCCCGCCTGCAGCCCCCTCTCACTCTGTCGAGTAGGACCGCCCGCTGTTTGTGGCGGCAAATGAGATAATTTAATAAGCGTTAAAATGCTCGAGTTATGTCATTATAAAAATAACGAAAAAATGCATAAATTAATGCCAAGGAATGCGCAGAGACAACGAGCCGAGACAAGCCGAGACAAACGGAGACAAACGGAGACAAACGGAGACGAGCCGAGAAACTGAGAACTGAGCTTGAGGCAAGCCCCAAAAATGGGCATTTAAAACGTGGGCAATTTGGTGGCAACAACGTTTGCTGCAGATGCAGCAGCGACCAAACTGGACATATATCTATATATATATGTATATATATGTATATGTACAGGTGTATATAATATACCTGAACAAAAGCGGCAGCCGGGCCTAGTCCAAGTTGGGCGCAAAAAAAATAACTTTGGTAAATCAAAAGCAAAGTCTGCTGTTGCCAGTTGCCTGTTGCCAGTTGCATGTTGCCTGTTGCCTGTTGTTGTTGTTGTTAAATATTTTTACAATAGCCACAGCAACTGCGTGAGAGCGACGTGGGGAATGGGGAATGGGGGGCATGCGGCATGCGGCATGTGGCAAGCAGCGAGCCAAGTTGGGGCCGCGCCCGTGCCTTCTAACTATTTATGGCAAACGAGTTGCCGGAGCCAAACAGGCAACAACTGTTGCCGCTGCTGCTGCTGCTGCTGCTGGCTGCAATTTGATGTGGCAGCAATTTAAGCCAACCTCTGTTGCCAACCCCCTCCCCCCTCCCTACCTCTTTTGCCCCTCCCCCTTCATCGAGCCAGCGGCATAAAAGTGAAATCTTTCGCTGCGTCCGCTCTCGTCAAAGAGGGACGCGCCAAAGGTCAACGGCTTTGCATAAGCAAATGAAAAATTGCCGCAAAACGGAAACTAATGATGTGCTGCAGCAACTGGCAGCAGCAGCAGCAGCAACTGGCAGCAGCAGCAGCAGCAACTGGCAACAGTTGCAACCAGTTTGGCGGCGCGGCCATGCCACACAGCGGCAGCAACTGGGAGACGCAGACTGGAATTCAGGCACAGCACTTGGCTTGATTATGTGAAAAATGTCACACACACACACACACAGGTACACACACACACACACAGGCACACACACACACTCCGTAGGTTTCCTCATAAGTTTTTCTAATTATGAATTCAATTCATGCAGAAAATTAGCAAAAGCCAAAGAATTGCCTGTGATTCAGTCGCTCTTTAAGCTCTGCATGTGTGCGTCTCTCTCTCCCTCTCTCTCCATCTCACTCCCTCTCTCTCCCTCCCTCTCTCTCTCTCTCTCTCGCGTGTGCGTGCGTGTCCATAAGCATGCGTAAGCTTTAAGGCCACTTTGGGCGCAAATGAATTCTTCTACAATGCTGCATGGATTCAACAGCGCCAGAGTTGCCAGCTTGTCGCAATTGAGAGCTGCCAGCTAGTTATACAAATATTTGCCAGTGTCTGGCTTTGTGCTTGGCCTTGCCACTTGGACATATATATCTACATAGACTGATCAATACTTTTGATACATTTACAGAGTTGCCACCTTTTTTCGTAGAAGAATCCCGTTGGACTTTCGCTTGACTCTGCCATTAGAGTTGCCAATAGTTTGTAGAGTGTCTTAAGTCAAGCTACTTGCTTGGGTTGCCACCTAGTTATAAGCGTTTCTTGTGTAGAGCAGGCTTGTGTTCTGTGCAGCGTTGCCACCTGGTTGGGATTGAGCTTTTGACTGACCAGAAAGATATGACAGCAAGTTAATGCTTATTATCGCACCCAGGGCTGCCACTTGATTGTAAATGGCGGCTGGTGTTGCCACCTGGCTTAAATACGCCTCAAACTAAATTGATGAACTTGTCTTTTTGGCCCATTTCTCAACTGTTGAGCCTGTTCTCCCCCTCAATCCCTCCTCTCTCTCACTCTCTCACTCTCTCTCCCTCTTTCCCCAGGTGATCTCTCTCTCTCTTTCACTCTAATAGCTATGCTGACTTTGAACCCACAATGGCAATGGAATCCGTTCGTTTAATGTGGCACGTGTGTGTCCCCAGTGTATAACGGCCCCCCCCCCTCCCACACACACACACCCCGCCCCCTTTTTAAAGAAAACAAGAACATAATTTTCGGCGAATTGTAGCCCAATTCCAGTGCTGCCCCTCTGCCACTGCTGACCAGCCCCCCTCCCCCTTACGCACATCCTCCACATACATATATGTGGGGGACATACCAATTTTGATAGCCATATATTCCCCATGGTGTTGTCGCATGATGTCTGCCACAGCCCCTCCCCCCCGCTGTCCCGCTGCCACCCAATACGCTGGGGGTGAGATATAAAATAAATTGTATGGCCAAAAAGAAGAAAAAAAAACCAACAAGGAGAAGAATAAGAAAACATTGGAGAACATCGAACAACATGCAAAAGTCGAATGCTACAATACAATAAATAAATGCAGAGATGGTCTGAGAGAAAAAAAAAAAACAAAAAAATGAAATAACATACATCAAGAATACTAAGTATAGATTGGAATATGATGTTGTATATAGATAAACAGATATATCTATATATTGTATCTGTATATAACCCACTATATATATAGATAGAGAGAGAGAGAGAGGGAGAGAGGCGACGCGACAGAGCCAACAAAATGGCATAAAAAAGAATTATAAATTGCGTAGCGTTGACCTTCATTTCGGGCCAAGTAATTTTTCATAAACAATTTACGCGTTTCGGGCCAGAAACACAGCAGAAGAAAAAGAAAAAACTATCCCCTACATATGTCTATATACAACTATATAGTATTTGTATAGCATGTTTTTAGCTGCTTCTTCTTCTTTAGCTTTTTTTTTTTTCTGATGGTTTTTATGGTCTACGTTGCGTTGCGTCGCGTCGCGTCGCGCTGAAAAGTGTTGTACAGCTGCGTTTGCTGCTACGCTTAATTATTCATAGATATATAGATCTATAGATCTGTGTATATCTGCTTTTAGCATTTTGCCAAAAAGAAAATGCAAAAAAAACGCAAGCCTTTACAACATTTTATCCGTCCAAGCAACCCGCATAAACCTATTCGATATCTGTCTACCTCGCTCCCTCGCTCCCTCTATAAGTTTTTAGCCTTTTTTATTGTGCGTAACAAACAATTGCATGTGTCAAAATATTGAGCTATTTAGCAAATTTATGATAAATACCAGTCCCCCATCCTACCCAACGCCACTTTGTATAGTTACCATGGGGCATATCATAGACATGACGCATATCTTTGGCACGATATTCGGCTCGAGTCGAGGGAAAGTGTTTTTCTTTCGTCAAGAACAAAGTTACGCATAGTTGGGATTATGTCTGGATATTATGGGATTATCATACGATATGATGTAAAATGATGATATGATATCAAATGATAGGATTTGATAGGATGGCATATGATATGATATGAAATGATAGATATGATATCATTTCATATGATATGATACAATATGATATGATATGGTATGGTATGATATGATATGATATAAAGCATACGATATAATATGATATGATATAATAGGATATCGTAGGATATTATATAATATAATATGATATGATAGATATGATATGATATCATTTCATATGATATGATATGATACATAGCATACGATATAATATGATAGGATATTATATAATAAAATATGATATGAAATGATATGATATGATATATAATATATATTATATGATATCACATGATATGATAGGATATCAAATGTGAGGATATTATATCGTAGGATATGATATGCTATGATATCGTAGCATATGATATGATAGCAAATTATATGATATAGTAGGATGTCATATGATATCATATGATTTATGATCTATGACATCATATAATATGTGAAAGGATACGATACGATATGGCTATGATCTGATCTATGATATGATCTATTTTGTGGACTTACCGTTACGATCGCCGGGACAGGTCTTGCAGCATTTGCCGGGCAATGAGATGGGATCATCGCATTTGGCTGGCGGGCATTCGTTCTTGATATTGCGACACTGAACGCGTGCAACAATGCGACGCTTTTTGGGTATCTGGAAAGATAGATCGATTATAGATTAAAGATGCAAACATGGAAAACTTTGCATATAGTCGAATAAAGTGCAAATCAACATGTTGTGTCGGTGCCTGTCTTCTAGTTTTCTTTAGTGCAGCTCTTGTTCGTTTTTTTTGTTTTATTATTATTGTATTCTATTTTTTTTTGGTTTCTGTTGGACTCTTTGTATCTCATTAGTTATGCTGAGTGGCTGGCCAATGTGTCACTTCTGTCTGCCTTGTGCCATTACTGTATATTTTATTTATTTTTTATTTACTTTTTATATAATTTTTGTAGCCGCAAAATTAATTAGCGCTGCCATTCGCATAACTGAAAACTGACTCAATATCTTGTTTTCCTTTTTTTCTTTTTTCTTTCTATTTCCCAATAACATTTCTTTGCCATACCCAGCAAGCATAAAGTGTGTGCAAATGCGTTCGTTTGGGCACCGGGTTTGCGGGCACCGAATTTCAGCTGCATCGGACGTGTTTCGGCTGGCCCCAACTAAGGAACTATCTGTCGGAACTCGGCAACTGGAGCAGCTAGAGACCTCTAGTTTGCTTTATTATCACGGTTAGCGATAATCTGAAGAGCATCCCACGTATCGGGACATATGGCATGTATATATCATTTGTATTGAGCTTTTCTCCAACTGCTATGAGTACAGGGTATGTGCTAGTCGTTGGCTTTTTTGTGACCGTCTAGTGCTGTTGCTTCCTCTTTCGCACTGTCTCGTCGCCTGCTTTAAAATTAGAACTAAATCAAGCTGCGATTTTCTTAATATAAATATTTGAGTATATTTATAATGCTCAAGTTTGTTTGTTTTTTTTTTTTTGTTGTGTATTTTCGATTTTTCTCCACTTTTTTTTTTATTAATTCATTTTTGATCTGCGCGAATCTGCTGAGAGTTTTTGTGTGTCGTGTCTTGTCTTGTCTGTTTGATGTTCATGCGAATTTCTTGTTGACTTTTATGCGTCTCGGACAATGTTGTTGCTTTTAATGGACGCCATAAGCAGCAGCAGCAGCAGTAGCAGTAGTGGCGGCAGTAGGAATTATTTTATGATGTGCCTCGTTTATAACGCTTGCAGCCACATAAATTATAATTAATTAATACACAACTAACTAAAGACCAAGACAACAACAGCAACAACAGCCAACTGACCGAATGCCCAGCGACAGCTCCATAAAAAAATTGACTACATAAAAACCACTCAAGGGGCGCTCTCCATAGCCAGGGGCGGGCACGACAGGGGATCGGCGGGAGGGGGGGGGGGGTCGGCAGGTGCGAAGCTGCAATTAGCCGAAAAAAAAAAATAACGAAAGACAAACTAATAAATAAAAATAATTGAGCATAACTTGGCTCGTAAAGTTGACGAACTCTGAGATTTACGCTTGAACTAGTTCTTGTCGGAGTTGGTTCAAATAAAGACAAATAAGAGTGCGCTAGTCGGGATTGCACGACTAGGGGTTACCCTAAAGTTTCTTCTACCAAGAGGATTATCGATATTGATTTTTATCGATTGCTTGGAAACGGGGCAAGTTATCGATTGTCCGAAAACATACTCGTACTGCACGGGCAATAAGAGGACCTACGTTCAGTTTCCTAGCTCTTATAGCTTCTGAGATCGAAGCGTGAATCGATCCGTCTATTGCTGCTGATCAGGAATATATGTATATACTTTACGGGCTAGTAGATGCTTTCTTCTGCCCGTTGCATACATTTGCCCAAAGACATTATATCCATTTTACCTTTTTTAAATGGGTTTAGGGTATAGAAACCCAAATAATTTCTAGAGAATTTGAATATTTCAAACTTGGAATACGACTCGAGATGGAAGTGTGCATTAACTGGACCATATCTTTAAAGTATTTCGAATGTATGGCATTTCTGGAGCTGCCCATAACTCTGCCCATATATGTACATATATATCTTTGCTTTGATCTGGAGCTCTTTTGGGTCTGCTGATGGGCATGTTATCATCCAATGGGGTTTGGCTTGGGATTGTGGCTGCATGACTGGGATCGTCGCTTGTCTGGCCGTTGGCAGACGCACAACAACAACAACAACAACAGCAACAACAGCAACAACAGCAACAACAAAAATATGCCAAGACTTTATGGCGTCAATTAATTTTCGGGGCCTGGATGCAAACTGCGCGAAAGTAAAGCCATACATATATAATCCATGGATATATACATATGTATATAGAAGAAATCGTTATATATAAGCTATATAATTTGTTGTTATTTTTACTTAACGCAGCACTTGAACGAGGACACAAGAGTTTGTTGCTGTTGCTTTTTTCTTTTGGGCAGTCGCCCCCCCTTTTTTTCTAGCCTCAGCATGTCCCCGCCCCTGCCCTGGTTTTTTTTTGTTTTTTATGCGCAATGCAAATTCTTTTTGCGTAACTCGATCGACAAGAAAGCGCACAACAAACACAATGTTAAATTTGTTTTTAGTTGAGTTTTGGCAAGGCTTTCTTCACTCGCCCATTGGCAATGTGTATAGGGTATATACTACATACATACATATGTACATATGTATGTGTTCGTTGTCTCGCTTATAAAAAGTGCTTTCAAATCAATATTAATCATGCGTAAAAATGCCATTAATTATGCGCTTTGTCTTCCTGCTAACCCGGCTGCCCCCATCCCCCCCTTTCGAGCCTCGCACAACCTTAAGTGAAAATACATTTTTCGCCAATAATTTTCTTTTGGCAACTTTGTTGTTTGTCTGTCTGTTTGTTGTTGCGTGTAGTAAATGTCGGCGGACATTAGTCAATTAGTTGGCCGCCCGTCAGCAGCAGCAGCGCCTCAATTTGCCGAGCCACATGGCCTGGCCCCCAAAAGATACAAAAGCCAAAAGAAAAGATACAAAAAGTATCTTTCACTTGTATTTGTAGCTGCAGCCATTTGTGCATTAGTCTTCAACTGCATTTGCCTGCAAATCGACTTTGAAAGCACCTGAAAGCTTTAATTAATTCGCAAAAGCTTTAAGCTCAACAATCTTTTACCCTGTATGTTAACTAGAAAGCTGCATAATTTGCTAGATTTCTACGTGTGGAAGCTTTAAGCTCAACAATTGCCTTTACTTTCATCTTATTCCTAATCTTAATCTTCAGCTTTGCTTGAGTTTGCATTTAACTTCTTGTCTACGAGCTTTAGCCCAGCTTAAAGCTCTTGCTTAAAGCTGTGTAATTGAAGTGTAAGTTGAAAGCTTTTCGGCTACTTACCGCCACACATTCACATTTGATGCAGTACATGACGCCAAATGGCGGTCCCAGATCCGCGTACCAAGTAGAGCCCAATTCGCGCAGAACTTTGCCAAATTGACATTCGGTAACTGAAAAGCAAAAAAACAAAAAAATAAGAATGCCGTTAAAAAACCGTGAGAAAATTGTGTCTCAAAACGAGGTAAATGGAAAAATGTGAGCAAACAAAAAATAAATACAAATAAATACAAATAAATGGCAATTTTTGAGTGTTTTCCTCAATTGCCAATTTGCAGTTGCATCTCCTTGTTGTTGTTGTTGTTGTTGTTTTTGCTATAAAAGCACATACATATATATATTACATGTATGTATGTGTGTGTGTGTGTGTGTGTGTGTATATATTTTTGTTTACGCCGATTTGGCTTGCGGAATTGTGGCGCCAGCTAATTGCATTTGCCCATATTAGAAATTAGTCAATGCCCGCCGCTGTCTATAGCCTATATCGAGGCGCATCGTAAAAGACTTTATAGACATATAATGGCTGCGTGCAGTTGGGGTAGCGGGGGAGCGGGGGAGGGGAGGGGGGAGGGGATTGTGTCGCCGTAGCCGCTGCCTGGCGCCACAGCTCAAAGCAGCAGTCAGCAGCCGCTTCCGGCAGCAGTTTTCAATTACAAACAGCAGCAGCAACAAAATACCAAAATAAAAGCCAAAAGAAGCAGCAACAACAACAACAACAACAGCAACAACAGCAGCAGCAGCAGCAGCAGCAGCAGCAACTGTTGCTGTTGCTGCCGGCGCCAACAAGTGTCAAATTGTTAGCAGGGGGCAGCACTGGCCGCAGCTAGACTCAGCTTTTATTTGTTGTTGGTGTTTTTTTTTTCTCGCTTTTTTCGCTTTTTTGGCTTTTAGCGGCCTTTTTGTTGCTGCCGCTGTTAATTGGATGGGCCACTAAAATCGGTATGCAAATCGCTGCGAAGCGCGTTAAATTATTAATATATTTTAATTATCCCGGCTGAGTGGCGGCCGACACACACGCACACACACACACACACACGCACACACACGCACACTCAATAAATAAAACAATACAAATATATAAAAACAAAAAACGAAATTACAAATGCTAAAACTTTAAACTCTTTGGCGCCACACATCGAACGTTGGCGACGCGCAGCCCATAAAAATAGCAAAAAAAAAATAGCCAAAAAAAAAATCGACGAAATAAAAAGAGAAGCAAAGCACGACTGAGAGTTACCCTGCAAAGCTAAGCTGTGCCAGTTGAAGCATCTTTTATTTTTTAATTATATTTTGCTTAAATAATTTTAGACAAGTAAGAGTGCGCTAGTCGGGAGTGCACGACTAGGGGATACCCTAAAGTTTCTTCTACCAACAGCAAAGGCAGCTCGAGCTAGCAGACAGATACTTGAGGTGTTTATGCTATTCTATAAGCTAAATGTCAAGTTTGTAGCTCTTAACACCTACGAGATTTTCTCAAAAAACACAATTATCGATAGCGATTGTTATCGATTGCCTGGAAAAGGGGCAAGTTATCGATTGTCCGAAAACATACTCGTACTGCACGGGCAATAAGAGGACCTACGTTCAGTTTCCTAGCTCTTATAGCTTCTGAGATCGAAGCGTGGATCGACTCGTCTTTTGCTGCTGATCAGGAACATATATACTTTATGGGCTGGTAGATGCTTTCTTCTGCCCGTTACATACATTTGCCCAAAGACATTATACCCTCTCTAGCTTTAGTAAATGAGACCTGTTAGCTGATATGCCCCGCTTGCACACCCTTGCGGCTTAACAGCCGCGACAGGGTATTTAGCAGCAGCTATATACCAACAAGAGTTCAAAGAGTTGGGCGAGAATCAATAGCAAAAAAAATATTATTAAATAATGAAATATTATTTAACTTTTGTTTAACAAAATAAACTCCAATTTGAAGCTTTGCAGGCAACAGCTCGCTTACAGGTGAGGGGTGGGGTATGCAGGGTATGCAGGGTATGCAGGGTATGCAGGGTATGTGCGTGTCTCTCGCCCCCAAATATCAGAAGGTAATTGTTTTTTTTCTTTTCGCTTTAACTTTGTTGATGGATTGTTTGTTTTTTGCATTGTTTTTGGTTTTGGGGCCTGTTGCTTATCGTTGGGCGGCGCAGCTGCTGATTTGTTGGTCTTGAATTGAAGGCAACAGCAACAACTAATTAACTAAACACAGCGACAAATCAGCTATCTAAGGGGTGCAAACGCCCACCCACCCCACAGGCAGCAGCAAAGGGGAGACAGATGTAACGACTGCGCAATACCCTGTTGTTCTTCTTTGGTGACTCACCAACTGTAGCTACGCCGCAGTGATAGCAAAACTGTGGCGCTAACTAGGCGAATGCGGCTCTCAAACTGTGTGCACTTCGATTGGGTGCAGCTAACACAAATGCCAAATTACCAAGCAGTGGCTTTCAAACTGCGACTCTAAAACTGTGAGACGTTTGCGTTTGCACGGGTAGGCGTGGCAAAAAGAGTTGACTAGCAAGGTAAAAATGGGAAGGCCGCACTTCAACTGTGACTTCCAAACGGTGACTCTCAAACTGTGACCCTCAAACTGTGACCCTCAAACTTTTTATCCTAAATGGTGACTTCCAAAGTGTGGCTACTAAATTTTGACTTAAACTAAGACTCATAAAATATGATGACAAAAAACGATGACTCTCAAACTATGATTTGAAAACGGTGACCTCTAAACTGTGACACCCCAACTGTGACTGTCAAACGGTGACTCTTCAGCGGTGACTCCCAAAAAGCAACTACCAAACTGTGACTCCCAAATTGTGACTCTCCAACTGTGATTCTCAAACTGTGACCCCTAAACTGAGACTCGCAAACTATGATGACCGTTTAGGTGACTCACAAAGTATCAACTCCAAACTGTGGCAATCAAACTATGACTCTCAAACTGTGACAATCAAACTGTGTGCCCCAAACTGTGGCCTTGCTGATGTCCCTTAAGCTAGTGCAGCCAATATGCTCGCCTTTGGCAACGCATTCCGCTAACAGGGTAGCAAAACAATCAGAATAGTAGAGTAATCGAACAACAACAACAACAAGAGCAAGAGCGGCAGCAATATGTATGTGAAACAAGCAGGGGCGGCATTGCCCGACATGGCGTATACGTGATAAGTGGCGCTAACGACGCGCGACGTTTATCAAGTGGCGGCCTTATTATAATTCGCAGCTGCTTCTTCTTCAGCTTGTTGTTGTCTTTTTTTCATTTGGCGCCAGTTTTATTTGCGTGCGAAAATAAAGAAATACAATTGAAATGCAGGCAACAACAATAGGGAAATAATCAGAAAAGACAACAATTCGAAGCGGCCTGCGATACACAAAAGCTGCCGATTTACGCGCAATAGATTTATAAATATTTATAATAAATAAATACACACACACACACACACACACACACATATATATATGTATATATATGTATACAACAACAACGACGCGTTAATCAAAGAAATGCTTCGACACAGTTCGCCTTCGGCTCAGCCTCATTTAATGCCCATTTTAGTCAACGATTTTGTTGCTGCCTTTTTTATTTGATTTTACTTATTTGTATTTCCATTTCATTTGCGACTTGCTGTTTTTATTTCTTGCGCAATTTGAAAAATACTTTTACTCTGGCAAAAATAATTGAAATTTACGTTAATTGGCGCTCGGCAATTTTTGCGCTTGATTTCACATTTCTTTTTCCTCTTATTTTTTGTGCCCGCCTGCAAATTCAGCACAAATTTCGATACATAAATATCGTGTATATATGTACATATATATTGTAGATAAATATATATAAATAATATATTTGCGCGAAATGTGTACAAAAACATGACCTTAAAAGTCGCAAATGTTGCTCGAAAACCTCTTGGCAACAAGGCTAACAATGTTGCCAAGCTGTCGTCGATTATTAAATGTTGCTACAAATTCACTTTAGATCAAGTGCTGCCCCATTTGCATGCAGCTTTAGGTGCTGCCCAGCTTTGAACATACTCAAGCACAGCTCTAAATGTTGCCCCAGAAATATCCTTAGCAACATGTTCGCTATGTTATGCTCAGCTTTAAGTGCAGCCCATAGCTCTGTTCCGCAACTATTTGGCAACATGTGCAGCGGCTGTCAAGTGCTGCCCAGGCACAGCTTAGCAACATGTCAAGGTGCAGCTTTGAATGTCGCCCAAAACGTGGCCACATTTCTGCCTGCTGCTGTTAATAACAGCTGTTAAAAATGGACTCGTTGGGCAGCTGTTAATGTTATTGTTGCTGGTGCTGCAAATGTTGCTAACAGAAGACGGCAGCTTGATTAACAGCCGCTCTTCCTGTTGCTGCGGACCCGCCCCTCATTTCCGCTCCAATGTTTAACAGCAGCAGCAACAACAACAACAACAACAAGAACAACAGCTCATCAATATTTAATTATGCGCTGTTGATCTACAGCTTGACTTGTGAGTGTGTGTGTGTGTGTGTGTGTGCTGCCTGCATTTGTCTAGACTTTTGATTAATGGGCGCAAAAATGTTTTTGCCTGGCGCAAAAATGTTATTTCAACAATTTTATTATTATTTTTGCTGCTGTTGTTGTTGTTGTTGTTGTTGTTGCTGCTGTTCCAGGCTATTTATTGCTTTCGGCAAATTCATTCATCGATGCACAACGTTTTGACAGGCAAAACGTGCAAATACAATAAAAACAATAATAAAGAAAATAATTTCAATTTCGGCATGCGCAATTTTTAGACCAAAATTAATAATTATTGTCTGCGCGCAGCGTGGGCGGCACTCAGCAACAACAACAACAACAACAACAACAACAACAACAACAACAACAACTAGAGCTTAGGCAAGTGCATTGGGCACACACACACACACACACACACACACACACACGCTCTGCACTTATGTGTTATTTTTAATGTTCTATGTCTAGAAATAAATTTACGCGTTTTGTGTGCGGCTTTCTTTGTGGTTGTTGTGGTTGTTGTTGTTGTTGTTGTTTGGCAGTGCATTGACTCACACACCCAAAGCAACAACAACAACAACAACAACAGCAACAAACAACAGCAAACAAAATGTTGCGTCTGGCAAACATTTTGCC